ATATAACATCGGCGTCGACCTTCCAGCAAATTTTGCAACGTAAACTGTTTTTGAATCGCTGCAAAAAGGATTCTATGCCAATGTTTACCTTAGATTTAATATCATTGATAACTCGTCCATCTGGAGTCAATCGAGATTCTATGTTCATTTTGCATTTGAAGCACTTGTTGACAGTCGTAGAACAACTGAAACACACTAATTTATGTTTGCAGGGTAAATAGGTAACATTTTCTTTGGCAGGTTTATTGCAACTGAAACATGTTTGCAATCTTTGGTCCAACTTATCGACGAGAGCTTCCATTGTGCGGTCGGATCCTTGCAAACTCATTTTCGGCTAGTAATATACGAGATATATGTTCACTGTACGAAGGACAAGACTAGTTTGATGCTTCTTCAATGATTCTAGTGCTTTATATTACAGCAGCTCACACTCATTATCCCTTTTTTTTACCTGGTTGGAATAATCAAAAAATTCAAACTATTAAAAAGTCATTAAAATATTTCATAATAACTAATAAAAATGTTTTTGACTCATAATGCATAAACAAAATAACAAACAAATAAAAAAAAATAAATTTTAAATTTCAAGAAGTCTAGAAGTCATAAGGTTTTGAAACTGATTTTTGTTGTTATTTTTCTTTTTAACTATGAATCTGCTGCTATCCTTACTTGTATGTGCACTTAATTTATTTATTTTAACTTACTTGTTTCTGTATTGTGTATATGTTCTTTTTAATTGTGATAGAGGCTAATGGCCTCATAAACATAAAAAAAATATAATTAAATTATTGTGATTAGAACTTTCTTTGTTTTGCAGTATTTCATATTTTTCTTGTATTTTTTAATCTTGTCGACATAATAGAAATATTCATTGATGGATTACGTAATGCATCGTTCCGGTGTATAATTTTAGTAATGAATGCGCTTGTCTCGTTGACGGTCTGCAATCGTTTGGTTCTTTTAAAAAATATATTTTATTTAATAATAAGGCTGTAAATTTTGAGAAAATATGTTTATCCCTAATAAGTTTGTTGTGTTTATAGTACTAAATGTATATTATTATTAAATTGTTTGTTTTATATTAATCCATTTCGTAATTAAATGTAAAACATATTATATAATTTGTTCAATTATATTTATAATTTTACTGAATATAGTTTATTGTTTAATTTCTAATAACAATAATTTATTGGCCAAACATCAATACATAAGAAGAAGAAAAAAAGTACAATTTATGCATAAATAAATTTTAACATACAATAAAAAAAATATATTAATAGGCTGGGCAATGGGCTAATTTAATTTCTATTAATTTGTTTATTAAATTTTGTTTATTTAGATTGGAAGTTAATGAATATTGTAGAATGATTGAAGAAGCTTTTATGCAAATAAATGGAATGCTAAAGTGATAGCAAAGTGGGCATGGTATGTAAGTTAAAATGTATAATGCTACTAGGAACGGGAACGAAACTGATGATGATGAATATGGATATGTGTACGCAAGTGGTCAACGTTTTCAGTTAGCGGTGGCGGCTACGGCGGCCGGTTTGAATCGGACGCGTCGGTGGCGTCCTCGTCGGCGTCGAGGTCTTTCATCGACGACAAAAGGTCGTAGCTGCCGGGTTTCGTCCGTGGACGTAGGTGGACCTTCGGCATAGCCCTTTTCGCCATGTTGTGGGAAGCGAGCCGTGCAGGTATTTTAAAAGCTCCCTATTGCAAAACTGCGTGCGGTAGAGTTGCTATGACAACCTCACATCGCCGCCAGCTACCAGCTTATTGATCATCAGGACGGCGGTGCGGTGCGGAACGGTACGCTACGTTATGTTATGGTACGATACGGTGCGATGCGGTTTGTTCTATCCTACACAACACACAACACAACTACATACACTTATATACAACCATGCACGTATTTCTATATATGTATACGTATCTACCAACACATTATGTGCATGCCATTCACATTTATTTACTTCCCCTATCCTATATTCATAACAGATACATGACGTTCGTTATTATCTCCATTTTTTGTTTGTTTCACATTGCAACAATCACAAAAAAAAATTCAATTACATTCCAATTACGGATGTTTTGTACCTACGTTCCATATGAAAAGCTCTGAATTGTTTGTTTTTATGCGATTTTTAAATACTTTTAAAATGTTTTTTTTTATGTGTAAATTGTAATTATGTATTATAATTAAAATAAAAAACTAAGAAATTTTAACTTACATTTTATTATTTTTTGAATTATTTTTATCCATTTATTAAAAAACAACTATTAAGACCTTTATATTAAGAAATTCAGTCAATTGCCTATTATGATTTTAATATACTAGTAATAAAGAATATTTATTGATTGAGAAAAAATATACAACCTCGGCTGGTGGATCATTGGGCCAAATTATTGCTAATAAATATGTTTAATTAATAAGTATTAAAAAATACTATTATGTATATTTTTTTCAGAATTTACTTTTAATTTTGCTCAATTAAAATTGAATTTGTTTTGAAATATTCAAACCGAACTATGCTTTACTATTTACAATCTGCCATGGGCAAACAATGACAACGTAAAGAAAAAAATTACTAGCGAAATAATTTCCCACTGAAAAATTCAAATAACAAAGTGTAATATAAATAAATATTAATTTTAACCATAATAACGATAATTTTCTATAAACGATAATTTTTCTATTCAAAGAATAGCCAAAAACATAAAATAGTTCTAATACAATTACTGCCAAAATAAATATTTCATTTATCAAGAAAATTTTTTTGGTATGCATGTTTATTATATTTGTATTATTTACATTTTATAGCATTTGAAAAATATGATTTTTTCAATATGAAACAAATTTCATGCGAAATTTTATTAAATTTTAGAGTTTTATTTAGCAAATATAACAAATTTGGTTACAAATAAGCATCCTATAATTGCAGTGACTTGAGGAAATCAAAAGAAAGGCTAAAAAATAATGAGAAGTCGCAAAAGGCAATCACCTTTCTCTTACCTAGAAAAAATATTGCGCATCATTAAAAATGAGTAGACAAAATCTACTCAGATTTAACAAATGATATTTATATCAAAGAAGGCTATCTTCAAAACACAATGAATTAAAAAGGGAAAATTTTAAAAAATACTCAATGTTAAAATGAATTGATAGAAAACGAATACGAAAATTAACAAATCTTCGCTAATTCAACGCTAATACTTCTTTTAATAATATGTAAAAGTAATATGAAATAATCATTATTTTTTAAGATCGTAGATGTAGATAAGATCTTAGTATTGAAATGTATTACTTAAACAGTTTCTTATGTAATTTATGACGGATGTTACGATCTATTACAATCGTCTTCGTTGCGTTCAACTGCCTTTCTACTTGATCATAATCACAGAGTACTCATTTTATTTTCCAATCTCTATTTATTAATAAACAGTAATTATAATTAATAGTAGTATTCATAATATATTTTTCGAAAATAATAGGAAACATTTATTAATAGAAATTCAATGAACTAGATTATTTTTTGTTTACAGCATTACATTTAGTGCGGCTTCTATTAGTCCTATAGTTCGGTCTCAAAATATTAAAATAAACTAAATTTAAATTGAGCAAAATAAGTAAATTCTAAATATCAGTATACAAAATCATTTTTGTATACATAAAGAATTGCTTCTTTTTTTTTCATTACAATCGAGTATCTTTTTATGCGGTTTGGTTTGAATATATTTAGTTCCAAACGATTAGTTTATACTTTTTATTATTAATAATAAAAATAATTAGACAGTATAAATAATACAGCCACATTAATGAATATTTTATTGCAATAATGTTTGAAAGGTCATTTTCTTAAAGATTAGTTAATATTTGTAAAATGAGTTTCATTTTAACACATTTTTGTTGTTCTAAGTTAATCTGATATGTATCGGAATATTTTAATTAAGATATAATAAATAATAATGTTAGATAAAACGCGTTTTGTATAGTTATTATAACTAAAAGTAAATGTTAGAAGCGACTGATTAAATTGAAGCAATTAGATTTTTCAATATAATAAACTTATTACTGGATGTTTTTTAAAATATCCTTATTCTTATAATATCCATATAATCAATATATTAGATAAAAAATACGTTTAAAAGAAATATACTGAAAACATCGACAAATGAGTGTACGGTTTTTTCAATAAAAATAGATATTTTGATATGTAATGTAAGATGTAAAATATTCTAAATTATAGAATAATAATTAATTAATTATTTATATTTTTATATTATCAGAAAAAAAGTCATCACTGTTTTTCCATATAGTTATTGTAATTATATATTGTTATATTCTTAGTTTATAAAATAATATTGAAAAATATTCAAGATTTTGTTATTTTTAGTATGCATAAGGTGACGAGACAGAATGGAATTGTAAGAGAAATATAATATATGCACTTCGATTGAATTCGGAGTGGCGGTGGTGGTGAAAACCATGCGACAGATTGTTGGGGCGTGTGCAGGGAGTGAAAGAGCCCAGGGGGTGCATTTTAACAAAGATCCTGGTAAAAAATTCCTTGATGTATTCAATAATAATGATAATAATAAAATGCGAAAGCGATGAACATGTGTGCAATGCACAGCATTATGTGTAAACCTCAGTTGAATAATAATTACAAGGTAGCAGAGATCAAAAGGGAAAAATGTTATCTCAATAGTAATTGGGTGAGGATGGCAGAAAAAAAGTAATATTGGGTGGAACAGGCGAGGAAAGGCAAAAACGCGAATAATTCAATAGAATCATCAAGTAAATTACGATATCAAATATCTTTTTAATTTTCCCCCTTATTAAACTGCAAGCATATACAATAGATGAAGGTATCCGAAAGAATAATGCGATAATTCAGTTTCATCGGAGGAAAAGTTTTTATTGCCCGTACTTTCCTGAAACGCGGACGCCGTCTATTGGGAAATCTTGATAACTGCGGGTGGGTTTTCCTGGAAAAACGATTTCCACTTTACCGTCGACGTTAGGGAGCGTGCGTGGTGGATGCTGGATCGATGGCCTTGTGTTTACCAACAACGTGTATTCAGGTGAGTGAGAGAATTCTTGAGTTTTCGTCTATGCAGACAAATTGTTATTGAATTTGAGTGGTACATGTCATGAGGGGCTAATGAAGGGGTTTGATCCGAAAAACCCTCGAGGGACGGTCATTAGCGTTTGATAACATCTATGGTTACATTATTTGGGGGAAACGTACATATGTGCACTTTTGTATGCGACGTGTTGACGGCAAGTGCAGCTTAGGGGGATGATATTCTATTATTTAATGGGGGACAGAGATTATCCTGGGGCGCTCTGTTTCCTCCTCCTGCACCGGCGGACAATAAATATCAAATTTCCGTCGCACATCAGCAATGCGGACCACTTTTAATTCATGCTGCAAACGTTTCAGGTTCGTCCAGCAGTTACGAACTTGTCTTAAAATACGAATAATATGATACTACGGATTCTTCTCTGCTCTCTGAGCTTCATCTCCACCATACAAGCGCGAGGTCCGCATCATCCACGAGGCGAACCCATCTCTAAACACCACGTCCATTACAGACCCACAAAGGGAACAGGCGAACAGAAACTGACACAAGATAAACAACTATTACACGACACAGAACATTTACAAGTAAGAAACATACATATTACCCTATAAACAGTAGAGTCATATTTCAATTAACGAAGACGTTTGACAAAATTATTTTGTTATCGGGTTTCCCAAACATCTTTATATATCAATTTTGCCGCGGCGCCTCAATTCAAAACATTGGTCTATCTCAGGGCGAACTTTATGTTTCGCTTTTTGCGGTGCCTCTATAGTATAGTTTAGGAACCCCTTGTCTTCACGGTTTATTGAATTTATTTTTAATAGATAACTCTTTTTACAAAATCAGGATCTTTTTCACTAAAATATACCAAGATGTTTTGAAGATCAATAAATAATCCTTTTAATTATTTTATTCCTAAGAGTATTTTGGCTTTGTTACAAACAAGTTTTTCTAATTTTTTCTCTGAAAACACATATTTTGTATTTAATACACTCAAATCTATTTTAGCCAGATTATTTTTATACAAATTGATGATTTTCTATAAACTATTTGGCGATATTTTAATTTACTTATTATATTTTTATGTTTATTAAACATTATACTAACTTACAACAATAATGAAGAAAGTCATTAAAATTACTCAAATAGTATATAATATTCATAGAATGGTCAATAGTAGCAGGTAATAAATTTTGAGTTGAGAATAAAAATATTAATTTATTTTTTTATTGTTTTACTGTGAATAATTTATTGAATGAAATACTAAAAAGATAAATAGTATTTGATATAGTAATGTTGAAAGTTTTAGATATGGTTATATTAATTAGAATTGTTTATACCAATTGTGCATTATATTTATATTATAACGTTTTTTCTTTTATATTTGATTTATTTGATCCACTAGATATTTGATTTTTTTTTAATTGACTTTTCTTTGAAATCATATTGTTGTTATACTTTTGTATTACGATTTTACTTTAGTATAAATACTATATTTAGCTACACAATAATAAATAAGTGATACATTAATTAAATTTAATATAATTACAAATATTATTCATTTTCAGGAACATTTGGAAGATATAATAAATGAACCTGACCTATCTGCACTCTCCGATGAAGAATTAGAGTTCTACTATTTCCAAGTGCACGACGTAGATAAGAATTCGAAATTGGATGGTTTGGAGATCCTGCAGGCAATTCAACACACGATGCACAAAGACGAGAGTGAAAGTAACGAAAGTACCGAGAACGACGAGGATACATTTAATTATTACGTCGGTAAGCGTTAAATGAACACCTTTGTTCTAGTCCGTATTTTCTGGTAAATTGTTTTTGTCTTGCAGAGTTAATAGATAAAGTGCTGGCAGAGGACGATTTAGACAATGATGGGTTTCTAACGTACCCAGAGTACGTGGCCGGAAGGAAAAAGGAGATAGTGCAAATGCAGCCAAGCGTTCAGATGATCCAGTGAACAAATTTATAATCTAATAATATATCAAATTGTGCTGTCTGTGTTTATATGAAAAAATAAATTCTGTTAATTGTTTTTATTTTAATTGAAATAATAATTCAGTGATAAAAATACTATGGCCGTGAAGTTGAAAAGTTTTTTTTTTTCAAATAAAGAAGTTTTATTAAATAAACAGTCAACTTACGTACAAAGTCAAATCACATTTTAAGAGTGTACTGTAAATTATTTATGCTTTTTTCTCATTCAATTAAAAATATTTCCTTTCACTTTTTAAAATTTTTCGTTGTTAACATTTTTTCAGCAGAAACTTCTCTAATTTCATCTTCGTTTTCTATGTCTTCGTTGTTATTGATTCAGCCATCTGAATATCTTATATATTTCATTATTAATGGTGTAGTTTTTCCAAAATGTTTTAACTTTATCATTTCATTCAATTACATTTGCAAATAAATACAGATAAATAGTGCTATTATACTATGATTGAATCTTGTGTTTGCTGGAAGAATTTGCGTATTATATTCAACCCTCGTTATCAGAGGTAAATGTTGTGTTGTCCAAAAAGTTTGTTTTATTAATTTTATGTATAATGTTAAGTAATAAGTTCCCGCGTTTTTGTGTTTTATATTTTCCCGCAATTTTATGTTTTGTTAGGTAAATTATATAAAGCATATGCAAGTCCTTTTCTTGCTCTACAAACCTATTTGCTTCAATTTTTCAAATTAATAAATTTTAATCAAATATCACACTTTTAAAATGGAAATTGCAGGAACCAAAAAAAAAAATGTTTTCGACATCTGCTCTATTTCGTAAGCTGCTCGCGATATTTGTGACGTGCATGGAGTAGATGCTGTAACATCAGAAGAATAATGCGTGTGATGAGACTGTGAAGGTGTGATCTGGGAAATACTGGAGAAGAACATGACAGAAAAGGGCCGATCGATATGCTAAAGTCACCCTTCTTCACGACAAAAACTACAAACATCATCAAGAAGGCTCTGCGTTACCTATGCCAACGATGAAGACTGAAAATTGATTAGTTAATTCACGTACTGTGCGGATCATTTTTTAACGATCTCTGCATAGTGGCATTTTTTTGGCTCTCCAGTAATAGAAAAATATCAAAGTCTAAAATACACTTTGTTTTCTTCCATTACCACGAGGGTAGTAAACTGATACAAATCATTTGGCACTTAGCAAAAACCTGTACAAACTATCCAGACAACCCAATAAATAAAATATAGTTCATATAAAACCAAAGAAATAACTATAGCAACTTTATTTCATTTACTTTTCTTAAACTAATATAATTGCAAAAAACATATATAAGCAACAATTACTTAATTATTTTAAAACTTATTATCAAATAGATAATAATAAAACACACTCTAATTTAACACTGGCAATTTTAAATAAAAAGTAATTACAAATAAAAAATACTATTTTTATTAGTTTTCTTTTTTCTTATACAAATTAAATCATTGTCATACAAGGTTTACATTATAAATGTTACATTGGTAGAAAATATTCATAATTTTCGCATATGTTCGATAATACGGCTAATGTCAATTATTGCATCGCATCACCTAATAATTTAACTAATTTCATAATTTGTCTTCGAATAGATTACCGTCGGTTGCCGCAATTGTAACGTGCTTTGCAATTTCCTCCAGCCATACCATATTTAACAGCTTCTTGTACTTCTTGCAGAGTGAATTCGTAATTTGCGCTCGGTTCAGGGTTAACCATTTTTGAAGCCTTCAGTAACATCTCGCCAGCTGCTGTGTACCGTTTTGCTTGGTGAGGTTGACGACAGGCGATGTTTTGCAAGCAACCATTATTACCCGGGGATCCTTCAAACAAATCTCTATTAAATTGCATATATGAAATAAGTTGTTATATTCTTTACCTGTTAAGTAACTTAGATACATCAAGATTTCTTCTTCGGTGACGATATATTCTTCACCATCAGCGCTCCTCCCGTAACCACCTTTCCATGTGCCGGCACCCAGAGAACCAGCCGCAAAGATCAAGGCTTTCAGTAAGACCAGAACCAGAAGATTAGTCAAATTCAAAGATACAACTTGAGAACCACCGCCCGTTGTTCCGTAGCCTCTTGACATTAATGATGTTGCTAAAGAAGTTAACATGCCTTTGGTATCGATCGCCCTGGAACTTAAATCAATATATAAATTTATAAAATCTATACTCATAATATTTATAAATTATACTTAATACTGTTGAATTCATTACATTGTACCAATGTAAGTAGCAGAGTTAAGGTTGTTGCGTATAACATCGTAGACGAAGACATATTGATGCAAATGCTGGATGAGAACTGTACTCCACCAAGACGTTTCCCCTTTTTATATATGTATTATGTTGGTATCGTTACGTTATTGTAGAAATTGTGCTTTCTGTAATTCTATTGTCACGTTAAAAAAGCAAGTTATTGTTTCTGCTCGGCCACTTGAACAAAGTAGTTTAATACGTGAATTCAATGCGGGATGCACAGATGCAATTCGTATTCATGTTTGTAAACAATTCGCAAAAAAAAATGACAACACAAAAACATTATATATAATTCGTGAAATCGCTCCTTTCCAACGGTCGTATCGTTCAACGGTATTACATAAGTGTCTTTCAAGTCACCCATCCGTAGATATTACTTACATATTTATAAATTCATGAGTTTGGTGTGAGTATTGTATACTTACAATAACATTTTTAATTATACCCACCGCCCTTCCGCTTTGGCTCACCGATTTCGTGGGCGCCAGTTTGAATTCTGGTTAAGCCAGGCCCTTTGTGAGCCCTCTCGAAGCTTGCAGCAATAGGGCCATTGGTCATCACAGATGGACAGTCAAATTAATCATGTTCAGCATATTGACCTTCAGCCAAGTCAATGGACAATGACAGTGTTAAGGATAGCAGCAGATTCACAGTCAAATTAAATCGCACAGCATCAATATGCTACTGAAGTTAACCAACAAAACAACAACAAATTAAAATTAAATCATCATAATAGTAACTATTCACCGGGAAATATTATCCATTTAATGTCAACCGTGAACTTAAATTTACTCAATGTTCTCATTGATGAACAGATTGTGAATAAAATTATACGACATAAAAAAATACCACTGTGCTAAATATAATTAAACCTGTATATTGGTATGAAAACATAATTACTTTCTGATATGAGTTTTTAATAATTACTCGTATATCAAATCAATCAGGCGAAACGAATACCCACAATCCCGAACGGCTTGTTATCACTTGATGCTCGTATTACAAGATCTCGGTCTTTTATCAATTTAAAATTAATTAAAAACATGCCCGTTTTTCAAAATATATGCAGACAGAGGTACATATATATTAAACATTTTTACCTTTCATATACAGAATGGTAAAAAAGTTTACTATATCAATTAATTTATGATATTGATTTCAACTCTGACAAGATGATATTTATAATTCGTAATGCTCTAACAAATTAACTAAATTATTTTCATTTTAAATAAATCCAATTAGACATACTTGATGAATACATAGTTCCAAATACATATTTGCTGTTTATAACGTTTTATTTAGGTTTATGTTCTGCAACAAAATATCTATTGTGGACATAATTTTGCTTTCAAACATTTTTTTTGTATATTAAATTTATTTTGGACGGAAAGGCCTAGATTTTGTCATAATTTTGATCAATAAATATGTTAAAATAAATTTATCACATAAGAAAGTAAAAAATAAATTATAATCTAAATAAACTATTTTCTATGCAAAGAGAATACGGAATTCAACCTACTTGAACCGACGCATTATAATTAAAAATAATTTTGAGTACTGTGCGCAATCTTATTCTTATTCCCAAGAATAGATTTCTTCAAAGAGTATATTTAAAGAAAAGTACAGATAGAGATTGTGAAAAAATGATTTTTAACAAATTAGCCATATTCATCCAGGACCAATAGATCACTGATCGGTGATTTGAAGAAATTCTTTTTCGGTATACGATAATTTTTAGAGTTCTTGCACGTCTATTCGATCTGAGGGAAAGTAGTTTCTGCGAGAGCGAAAATATGACTTTGTTGAACGAGGAATGGATGGTTAAGCTTTCGTATTTGGCGGACATACTTAATCTTCTGAACGAACTTAATATTTGTCTACAACGGATTTGCGAATATCTGCACGCAAATATGCGCAATAGTAAGGTATAGAAATATTTCCATTTTTAGAATAATGCTGTTGATATAAACTAGAAAATAATAAGCTAACATTACGAACATTAGCTGAAAACATTAATAATTATTTCCTTCAAAATATAGATCGAAGTGAAGATAACCTCTGGGTTAATAATCTCTTTTTTGGAAGACATAAAATAATGTGCACTTGATTGTTGTGAGAAAGATAAGTTGATCGAGTAAAATAAACTTGCTTATAAAGAAGCATAAACTTTACAAAAATTATAATTTTTTACATTTAATAAATGCCGGTCCACGAAATATTTTTCCAATTTTGTTGGGGTTTTAAAAGGTTGCAGAGCACTGCACTACATGTAAGAGATCTGGAAAGCATAAATATCAATGAAGGGATATCCCACATACCAAGTGATTATAATCGGGTAATTGAATAACGTAAATTATAATTCTAAATACAATCTTTATTTAATAATAATACATTTAAACTATTTTATTTTTAACATTGATAATTACAACAATCTGGGAAAGGATAATTTAAGTCTATGAGACATTGGTTATCATCATAAGAAAAATCATCACAGCTAAAAAATTAAGAAAATTATAAGATTTAGTTTAAATTTTATTGGTCTTACGTTTCGTAATCGACTGATCCATCTTCATTGCATATTAATTGAGTACAACTCGTCTCATCCCTACTTACATCACCACTCATTAAAATAATTTCAGGTCTAGACCTAGTTGGAATACATGTACCTCTTGCTACATTAATAAACGTGTATTAATCACAAATTAGATTATATAATTTTGTAATTACCAGCTTTGGGATTTCTAGGTTCAGAATAAGTATCGCAAAGGCAAACTGTCAGGCAGCAGCTAAGAATCAACAATAGTTTGAACATCTTTGATTAAAAATTCTAATAGACTAAAATATTCTGAGAGCATCGGTCATTTATAATCATATTTATCTGAATAATCTGAAAAAATTCGGCGATAAAATAAAAAAAAATGTATTTACATTTGTTGCAGATACTAGTTGAAAATTGTAATTGTGAAGATGAGTTTATTTAATCTTATCAATTAGACATATACTAAAATAGCAAAGATTGATGGTTTGTTGACATTTATATTATCTTATAATTTCTGCTAACTTAGACACTCATGCTATTGAGACGTTGGTAAACTGAAAACAACAAGGGAGAGTGCACGTAAACCAACCACAGATATGATCATATTAGCAGGAACTTGATATATTATATATATACAAATTGATCCGTTTTTGTAATCTAAATTCTACAAGCATAAAAAAAGAAAAACAGATAGCAAGCTCTAGTTTAGGATTAATTAATGAAAAAATAAAAATCCATACCCAAACTCCACAGAATGTTTATAAAGGAAAAACTTACGCAAATAAGTCTTATTATCAATTTAGACATCACTAACACTAACTTTAAAAGCGATTAGGGAGGTCCTGCGGTTTAAATCGTTTCAATCTTCGTCGATGAGATTCAGTGTATGTACGCTCAGAGGCAAGTTAGTTTGGATGGTCCTCCATCCGATGTTGGCATTTTCTGTTGAGTTCCGTTATCTCATCCTTATAAATCTGACTCCAGTTTATTGATGTATGTACTCGTTAGTCGAGAACCAGGGAGCATTGGCAATTGCTCTCAGCGTTTTTGACTGGAACCGCGGTATGATGTCAATACTTGCATTATAAGCAGATCCCCACAGTTGTAATCCGTAAGTCCATATCGGTTTTATAATTGTTTTGTATATTAATACCTTGTTTTCACCTGAGATGGAACCAATGCAACCGTTTTACTGTCAGTCCCAGCTGTTTTCTTTTTGTCGTGATATGTTATTCGAGTCGACGAACCAGATGCAAGCCAAGATACTTAGCATCATCAGCCTGTGGAAGGGCACTGCCATTCAGTGTAACGGGTGGACAAGTTTGTCGTCGCATTGTGTACGTTACGAGCACCGTCTTAGTTTCATTAGCCCTGATTCTCTAATTCTGAACCAATGAGGCCGTAGTTCGGTTTTGGTGGGATGCTGGAACAACGGTGTCATCAGCAAATGTTGTTGTAGTGGCGTGCTGAGGAGTTGGTAGATCATCCGTGAAGATCAAATAGAGTAAGGGTACAGAAACACTTTCCTGTGGGACACCATAGAGGATTGAGCGTAGCGAGGTCACTTCGTCCTTGTGCTTGACCTGGAAGTGTCTCCCAGTCAAGTACAATTTGAATATGACGTAATATTCATGTGGGAGACACTTTTTAATTTTATATAACAATCCTCCATGGAATACTCGGTCGAACGCCTGTGAGATGTCGACAAAAGCGGCAGAGCAGTAATTCCTCTCCTCAAGACTTTAGCCAATCACATCTACCACACGATGCATCTGTTTCACAGTGCCATGTCGCTCATGAAATCCGAACTGATATTCCGGGAGATGACTATCCAACAGCCAGGGCTTCAATATTCGAGGCAACAGCCTCTCAAACAGTTTAGACAGGACCGGCAGGAGGCTGATTGTTCTATAAACCGTTGGTTTTCCAGGTTTGGCGATGAGTATGATTTGGTCTACCTTCCAGTCTTCCTCCGACTTCAGCCTAATATCTGTCCTTAACACTGTCTCAAGGTTTCCTCTGAACTGGTCCCAGTTGGTTCTGTTCGTACTCAGGGTTGGTGGTCTATCCGAAGACAGTGTCACAAGTATTAGCGAATGGTCGGATGAAAGGTCCAAACTCGTGTGTATGGAAAGGTAGTTAGTGGAGATACCATTCACAATGCCGATATCCAGTACGTCGGGTTGTTTGGCCCTATCGATTGGCCAGTAGGTTGGTTTATCGGCGGATCTCGATCTTTTGTTGTTGTAACTGTGGAGCCCCACATGGTATGCTTTGCATTGTAGTCTCCAGCAGCAATGAAGCGACTACCCAGAATGTCAAAGAACTCGACAAAGTTCTCAAGTTTGTTGTTGTGTTTCGGTGGGCAGTTATTATTTGTTTATTTTAATCATTTGTGTCGCAGTACAATTACAAATTGTGTTGCTATGTATTTATTATGTATTTGTTATGTATTTAACCACTGTCGGAATAATCTGTTGTATATTTTATTTAAAGAAACATTTCAATTTTTATAATAATATTCATTATGAGCCTAAGGGTTATCGATTGTAGTATTTCCGCTCAACGTTTTTCCAAATATTTGAAATTTATAATAGCTCCCAAAAAAAAGTAGTTTTTACTTCATTAGCTTCTATAATTTACAAAATACTTTGCATACATTATTTATACACTTACTTATCTGAATGATATAAGTTAAAATATTTATATTTATTGACGTTCATAAATTCCTGGAAATTCCATATTAACGATACTAGACTAAAATAGCAGAGATTGATATTTTGTTGTTATATATATATATTACCACTTAATTGCTCTTTGCATCACATACGTTGATGATTACTATTTTTTGTTATTTACTAAATATTGTTGATACATAAATAGCTGGTGATGTAAATTATTAATTGCTTTTTTAATAGATATAGTGTATTGTGTCCCGGGATTAAGAAATCTCTGAACATTGTGGATTATCTCGTAGTTATGTCGTTGTAGAGTCTAATAATAATTATGAAGTAAGTGTTCTTCCCTGGACCCAATAAGTAAGACTCTGTTCTTACTTCAGTCCTCCAACTAAGACTAAATTATATAATACAAAAATGTATCAACATCAAAAAGAGGCTGCGTGGGAGTATTATTTTTGATCTTGTGGAAAATACAACCGTTTCTTTATTTAAGTTTTATGTTCTTACCCAATTATTTAAGGGCGGAAGAAGGTAATTGAGTGTTGATCAAATAGATTTCGTTTGTGGCCACGACAATAGTATTTTCAACACAATTAAATCTGCGTACAAACGAAGATGTTAGATCGAAAAAGAAATGCAGTATTATACGAGACATAAAATATGATTATGACATCAGAAAGAAATTTAAAAAAAAAAGTAGATTCAATCTAATTTAAACAGTTTAGGATTTCCAAAATTATTAATTAAAAGATAATTTTTAATATTATACTTAAAAAGAAAAGATCAATAATCACACAATTAATACTTTTAAATAATGACAATAATTTATTAAAGGAAGTTTAGTTTAAAATGATACACCAGAATATATGCAAATATATTAAAAAAAACTAAAGTGAATGAGAAATCCAGGGACATTAGATATTGAAATGAGGGAAGATTAATGAGGAACATTTAAGTTTGAGAATTTATAAAAGATATTGACAATTTGTACAGTTTTTCAAACATAACATAACACATCTTAGAGAAACTGTACACCAAAATTAGAAAATTTTCAATGTTTTTATTATTTATTCACCTATATTTATGGCAATCATAATTACAACATCGTGGGAAAGGTTTATTTAAATCTATGAGACATTGTTTATCACCATAAGAAACGCAGCTAAAAATATAGAATTATAAAATTTAGTTTTAATTTTATTATTTTTTACCTATCGTATCTGATACTTCCGTCATCTTTACATGTCATTTGAATGCAACTTCTAGGATCCCGTCTTGTTTCACCACTCATTAAAGTAATTCTAGTTCCATCTGGGATGCATGTACCCTTAGCTTTATGTATTATCATGTTTCAATCATTAACTGGATCATGTAAAATCGTATTTACCAGCAATAGGATGTCTGGATTCAAAACCTCTAATGCAAAGACATACAACAAAGCAGCAACTAAGAACAAACAATAGTTTAAACATCTTTGATAAAAAGTAATGATGTATTAAAATATTCTGAGTGCATTGGTTATTTATATTCATAATTATCTGAACTAGTGATATTGTTGCTATGTAAATTATCACTTGGTTGCTATTTGAATAATATATATTATCAATCATTATTTTTTATATTTCGTAATATTAAACAATTTTATCAGTTATTTAATTTAAAAAAAAAACAATTCTGAGGCTGTTTGAAACCGGACTAATCGAGTATTTTATAACCGCGAAAAAAATAAACTGCACAAAACTGACTAGACTGTATACACGGAAAGCGATCATCAAAGTATACAAAAATTATTACCTATACTATTTTTTTTTAAATTTATTTTTATTTTGTCCCTTAACACAGCGGTTTCCAACCTGGGAGGCGCGGACTATTGCCACAGGAGGCGCCAAATTTGTTTAATAAATTAATTTTTATACCATAATATCTTCAAATAAATAAAACGTGTCTATATTATTTAATCTATTAAAACAATAAAAGATAAGGGAGGTGCGGAAAGAAAAATTTCGGGGAGGCGTAGTAGCATAAAGGTTGGAAACCGCTTCATTAACACGTAGTTTGTTTTGAAATCTTGAAACCGGACTATAGTGAATCTGCCTTTTACGAGGTATTCTTATATTATAAATATATAATTCAAAAGCACTCTAAAATAAACAATCCAAAAAACTACATAATCATGTTATATTTAAGTAATAGCAAAGCAGTAAGGGTCAATATTTTTTTTGAAAAAGTCAACGAATGAACAAAAGTATTTCCTAAATGCCTGAAATTTTAAATGTTTTCGTAAATCCTGCTAGCCTGCATTTAATTAGTTGTTTTTAAATTTATATATAATAATAGTAAAATAATTCTTAAAAAAAAATCCGCAAAGTTCATTTTTTTACGAAAATTAAAAATCGAAACTTTTATACAATGATATATATTTTTTATTTGATTTAATCATTATTACTTGTAGAATTTGAAGGCTGAAATATCCCGCTCTAAACATATTATTTCCGCACAGTCCTTTTATCAGAACTAAACTTTTATCTAAAGACTCTTGAGATTACACCTTTCAAAATATGTATATAAATTAATTGTATTTAACAATTCTGATATATATAATCTTCATCAATTGTATTTAGCGAAAATCGACATGATCTTTCCAGCCAACCCAATACAACAGGATATGTAAATTATATTTTTATTTATGTTTTAACACATTTATTGGTCAATTTCCTATATTTTACTTTAAATATTATCATCAATTCATTATAACCTTTTTTACATAGCGACCACGGGTGGAGTCGTAATACTGTGAGAACCTCTCTCCAGCATCCAGGGCCGGTGTTTTCACAATGCAGATTGTATGAGCAAGCTCTACGCTTCTTCTACGTGTGTACACTATCACTTTCTCTCTCAATCATCGGTGCGTCATTTTGCGTCATGATGCCCCACTTCTTTTGACTCTTCAGCATCTTGCCAATGAACATATCCGGTTCCAGCACTTCTCCGAGATTTGATTCCGCCTCGTGCTTCATCGTTGCCCATCTGCAGTAACAAAAAAACGTGTGTTCTGGGCTATCGTCTTTTTCGCAATACCTGCTTCCTTGCTATCAAGTGCAGGTACTTGCTGAAGCACCTGTGTCCGGAAAGCGCTTGGCTCAGATGGAATGTTGTGTCGCTGTGTTTTCTGGAAATCCAGGGAAATATTTCTGGGATGAACCATCTAGTCCAGGCTCCTTACTCTGAGCTATCCCATGGCAGTTCCCTTGCTCACTCCTATCTGCCTCTCACATCTCTCTCTGTCTAATTCATTGATAACCTGCGACGGTTATAAAAACAATAAATAATTAGTTTTAAAATATATATTAATATATTTTCTATTCTTGCAGAATGCAATTATAAATGGGATTATCATATTCCTTACTTGAATTTTTGGATATTTAAACAAAGGAATTTGTTGGGGTTATGTTGGGTTATTTAAAAACGAAAATTATCATATCATAAATGCTATGTTTCTTTAATATTCAATATCTTTAAGACTCTTTGTTGTTAACAATGATAATTACAACAGTCTGAGAATGGTTTATATAATTTTTTGGGATACCTTTTGGAACCAAACGATATACAGCTAAAAATAAATATAATAAAGGAAAGTTATTTTTAATTTTATGTTCTTACTTTTCATAAGAGATTGATCCATTGTCATTACATATTATTTTAGAGCAATCTACATGAGTACTAATTTCTTCACCATGCACTAAAGAAATTTGAAATCTATTTGAATAGCATGTACCTGGACACAAATAATAATGTTTTAATCATTAACTCTATTATATAATTTCATATTTATCAGGATAAGGATAATAACTACCGCAAAGGCAGAGTGCCTTTTGAACATCTTTGGTCAACTATAATGATGTACTAAAAAAATCTGGGAGCGTCGGTCATTTATACTTATATTTATCAGAATAATCTTGAATTACCCTTTTTTTCATTGCCTTGAAAAAAAAGAGTTGAATATGGAAGAATTCAAAAGCAAAATGTCTTAACACTATAAACCTGAACCTTGTTTGTTTTATACCAGTCCCAGGAAAACCAAAGGACTGCTGAGAAATATCGGGTAAATATCGTGCATATATAAATATGACTGGAGAATAAATTATTCAAAGATTTTGATCAAAATACATCAGAAATATTTTCAGAGCACCGTGATCATGAATAGACATAAATTGTTTACTAGCATATTAAATCACACATTAAAGAACTAACTATACATTTACTTAACAACCATAAAATAGGCTTAGATGTTTTAAACCGGTCAATTTAACAGAAAGATTTAAGTAAATTCATCTGCAATCAGATTAACTTTTTGTTCATACAGAATAGATTGTAAATAAAATTATTACGACAAGTAATCCAAATAATTATTTAAAGAAAACATTCCTCCTTGGTCTACTGAATATCACAAAAAAAACAATATTATGCCGATAACCTTTCGTCTGGAATCGGGAATGCAGTAAATAAAAAAACAAGAAGAAATTATGAAAATTGTCAATTAAATGTAGAGATAATTTAAAATCTGAATTCAAACAAAATTTCATAAATTCTCTTAAATTATACTTCACATAATATCTAGTATATTTGACAGCAATTATTTTCTAACTTCAATTACCTAATATTAATCTATGATTCAATATATTTTTTATGCAAAACATCTGATTGTATTGCATTTAAATTTGATAAGAAAATTGTTGTTGTTTTTTCCATTTAAAAACGTAAATCATAATTAAAAATGCATTTTTATTTTATTATACGTAATTTTCAATAGCCCTCTTTATTTACAAGCTGAAGTACAACATTCTGGGTAAGGTTTACTTGGGTCTTCGGGACACCTTCTACCATTGATAACTGCAAGTCCGCATCTAAAAACAGTATTATATAACATAGACAATTCAGTTTAAATTTTATTGCTCCTACCTTTCGTAAGTGACACTTCCATCTGAATTGCATATAATTTTACTGCAACTGTTAGGAGGCTGCCTAGTTTCTCCACTCAACATAGTAATTTTAGATTGAGACGGGATGCATGTGCCCTTAACTATAGAAATTAGCGTGTTTGATTACTAACTAGTGCATGTAATATTGTATTTACCAGCATTAGGATTTCGATGTTCATTAGCAACAGCGCAAAGGCCGACTGCCAAAGAGCAACTAACTACCAATAATATTTTGAACATCTCTACTGAAAATTATGATCAACTAAAATATTTTCAGATTAATTTTCGCTTATATACTTATTATTATCTGATTAATTCAAATAAACAACAAACAAATAGATACTACTCACGTCAGATCAACTCTGAAAAAATGAAACATCACAGATACCAAAATGTTTGTTCGTTGAAGGTTATCAATTTGATATGTGAACATTTCTTCACAATAGACATATAATAATAAAAGAAAATTTATTATAAACTTAAAAAGAATATATACTAAGGAATATTAAACATATTTTCTTTATATTAATATTATTTCCCATTAGCTCCATCTCATATAATTAAATTTGAAATTTGAATAAAATAAAGGAACCACCAATGTTTGTGTTGTTTCTTTTTGTTCTAAAATAGTTATCATATTTTGAAAAAAACAGAAGTAAACAATTGTACAGTCATTGATCAAATTATTTGAATCATGAATCAATTAACAACAATTAAGCTATAATAATTATGTTTTTATTTATTTTATTACCATTGTTGCAGAAAGCAATTATTAATGGGATTATCATATTGTTAGTTAAGTAAAATAATTTCAATTGTTTAAATTCTGTATTTATCATTGTTCATGACAATCATAATTTCAATATTGTGGCAATTTTTTTTTAAATTATTATTAAAACAATCTATCATCTGACATAGATATCAAGCTTTATGAATGTGGTAAAAAAATATATAAAAAAAGGACACTATAATACTTAATGAAGAGATGATCCAGCAACCCTACTTCACATATACGATAATTATTTATGCACTTGCAAAAATTGATTTATTGATTATTAAAATCGGTTTGGTAAGTCTTTGGTAATTTTCCTCAGCGTTCCTGGAATCTCTCTTTTTCCTGGAACCAGTTTTCGATGTTAATAAGGCTGGCTTGGAGCATTTGTGAAGCAGTTGTTAGATCAGTGTGCGATGCCAGGATTGCAGTGTCATCAGCGAACGTAGCCACAGTGACTTGTTGAGATGTAGGCAAGTCCGCCGTGAAAAGGAGATATAGCAAGGGGCCCGAAACGCTTCCCTGAGGGACTCCAGGGCTGATCGGTCGTAGAGTAGTCATTTCGTCATTGTGTTTGACCTGAAAGTGCCTCCCCGTTAAGTATGATTTAAAGATGAAAAAATATAGGTGGGGAAGGCACTTCTTAATTTTGTATAACAGCCCCTTATGCCACACCCTATCGAAAGCCTGAAATATGTCCAGCAAAGCAGAGGAGCAGTATCTCCTCTCCTCAATACTTCTGATAATCTCGTCCACTACACGATGTACCTGCTCCACAGTACCGTGACGTTCACGAAAACCGAACTAGTGGTCAGGTATGACATGGTTTTCCATTAGCCAGTGTCGCCAGGTTTTCCAGGTTTTGGAATAAGAATAATCTATGCAACCGTCCACTGTACTGGGAAAATGCAAAGTCTTAGGATGGCATTAAAAATAAATGTAACATTCCTCAGGACAGCAGTTGACATCTGCCTCAGAACTGTAATTAAATCATAACCTGGCGATTTTTTATATTTCATCCATACCGTATTATCAATTCAACCTCCCTGACTTTAAATGGATATTGGAAGCGACATTTGGAACGGAGACTTCAAGAAGCGCGTTATTTTGCGCTCTTCGTCATCACGCAGTTGTGATGGGAACGGTTGGAAGAACTTAACGAGGTGGTCGTCGAATAATTCCGCCTTATCCCTATTGCTTCTTGCCCAAATGCCATCTGGTTTGCAAATTGGTGCTATAGTCTGCTTAGGTTGTTTTAATTGTTTAGTGGGTCTCCATAGGGAATAGTTAGTTGCTTCCGTTGGTGTTACGCTCTGGATCTTTCTTAATCTCCTTTTTTTCCTTAATTAGATTGGCAACACTCGCTGTGCAGTTATAAGTCACTTGACTTGTAGGGATAGTATGTGAAGCACTCGTAGCAACTGATTGTATGGAGGTAATTCAATCTTCAACTGCACTTTCCAGTTGTACCTCTGTTTTCAAACAGATATTAGATCTCTAAAGTGTTCCCAGTTAGTATGCTTATTAAAGATTAGTTCGCGTCTGAATTGACGCCATTAGAGTCAATATAATGGGAGAATATAATGGGAGAATTGTGGCAACTAAAAACGAAATGTAATTTCAAAATTTATTTTATTTTTCACTTATCATATCTCATACTTTTGATACTTATTCTAACATCATCAGACAAAACACCATTATCTAGACCAAAGGTTCCCAAACTTTTTTGTGTCGTAGACCCCTTGCCATATTTTTTGGTTTGGGGTAGACCCCCTACTTACCTGATATTGATTTTTTGTAAATTTATTATTTATATTGGGACATCTTTATAATTATTAAGATCTTTGCTCTGAGACTGCGCGTATGCTTGTAACAAGATGATACTGGTATATCATTATGTGCAGGTTTTGACAAGTTTAAAATGTATTGCGACCACAAAACGAATGCCTACAACCTATAACTTACACGATTTTATAAACTTATAGAATATTTATTTTACTTCACATGTACTTTTATAAATAATGTATATGTCTTTATATTATAAGATAGTATAATGTAAGTAAATAGGTACTATCAGTGTATGTTGACATCCACTATCGTGGACCCCCATTTTCATTTCATGGACCCCAATTTTTTTTTTTCGCTGACGTAGACCCCTTGCAGGTTGTCATAGACCCCTGGGAGTCGATATAGACCACTTTGGGAATCACTGATCTAGACCAGTGTTTCCCAAACTTTCGACATCTGTGTACCCCTTTACAATTTTCGTAACACTGAATACACCTCGTTAAAAAAAAATTGCATCCACTTTAAAAACAATCAAACTATATTTATTTTGTTCTTTTTTAGTACATAAACAAAAAATAAAATAAATTCATAATAAAATAAAAGTTATAACATAAATAATATTCATTATAATCAATGAGAAGGACGAAATTGTTTTTTTGATATAACTGATTATTATAATTTGCTTGACTAATTTTAATCTAAGATGCGGTTTCACATCCAAAAGTCTGCTGCTTTGACTTAAAATTTACAAATGTTTAAAAAGCAATGTCACATAGATATGAAGTAAACTGCTTGTTGCATCAGGCGTAGTAGAAGCCCGGAGCAGCGTGTTCCGTTCCTCAGGGTCCAAATAACTCAAATAATTATTAAAAGAAAACATTGCTCTGTGGTCTACAATAGACTAAATATAAATTATTCTAATCTCACAGAATACCACACAAAATGCAATATCATAACCTTTCATTTGGAAACTTATATTCAAGAAATCTAAGAAGAATGACTCACTTAACGAGGGACGTTTCGCATAACGAGTGACAATGAGAAGTCCAGCTATATCATTTTTAAAAGTTGTGCACACATATTATGTGTATTTTTGAATATATTAACTATCTTCGATTTTCTTTGTTATCTTTGTTTAAAGCGGATACGATACTTTGCTAACATAATTTGTGTTTGCTGTTATTGCAAAACACAATTGTATTGTGTCCAACCACTATGTATGCTTAGTAATATAAACAAATATAAACTCACTTCACCGTGTCTGAATTGGAAAACAGTTCCTGGTGTTAGTGGTCATTCTAGTTGCATCTTATTGTTTGTGATCACAAAATTTACAAACTTGTGTTCAGACAGCGTAATTTACATTAGTTTATTTGGGGAAAACGTGTTTCACTATACGAGTACAAATCGGGAAATTTTGGAACGGATTAAATTAGTTAAGCGAGGTTCCACTGTATACATAAATTAAACAAATAAGTAATTAATTACATAATCTATATTATTCAATATATTTTTATGCAAAACAGAAGTTATTGTATTCCATTTAAAAATGTAAATTATAATTAAAAATGAATTTTTTTTTAATTTTACTATAAGTAATTTTCAATAGCCCTCTTTAATCACAAGCAGAAGTACAGCATTTTGGATAAGGTTTACTTGGGTCTTCGGGACACCTTTCACCATTGATAATTGCAACTCCGCAGCTACAAAAAACATATATAACATAATATAATTCAGTTTCAATTTTATTGCTCCTACCTTTCGTAAACCATACTTCCATCTGAAATGCATCTTATTTGACTGCAACTGTTATAAGGTTGCATAACTTCTCCACTCAACATAGTAATTTTAGAACCAGATATGATACATGTTCCCTTAGCTATAGAAATGTTCGTGTTTGATTATAAACTAGTCTATATGATGTTATATTTACCAGCATTAGGATTTGGAAGTTGAAAAGCAATAGCGCAAAGGCCGACTGCCATGCAGCAACTAAATACCAATAATATTTTGAACATCTCTACTCAAAATTAACTGTGAACTAAAATATTTTCAGATAAATTATCGTTTATATATGCTGATTATTATCTTGTTGTTTCAAATAAACAACAACAAAATGTAGATAAACCAGCAAGATTTACATATTTTACCCTCGTCAGCTCTTGAAAATGAACATTACAGATACCAAAATATGTGTTCCTTAAATGTTATCAATGTGATATGTAAAGAAATAGGAATAGACATATTAATTTTGTGTGAATATTTTATTTATATAACTACTTATTTGAATAATATATAATAATAAAATTTATTATAAACTTTAACAAAAATCATATAACTATATACAGCATTAAGCATTTCGCTTAACGAGCAAAATAAATTGTAATAAAAATGACGTTTCGCATAACGAGTTAAGAGGAGAAGAGAAATCCCGGATAGTGCGCCTGCTACATTATTTTCAAAACCTGTGTACACATATTATGTGTATTTTTGAATATCTTTCACTATACACATATAGTATATATATATATATATATATATATATATTCCATCTCTACTGAAAATTATCGATGAACTAACATATTTTAAGAAATAATCGTTTATATGCTTATTTTTATACGGTTGCTTGAAATAAACAATATATTATTAGATAAACAAGCAGTATTTGCGTGGTCTATTTGTTTTGGACAGGAAAAAAAATAGTTCTTGAAACATGAAATAACACAAATATGTGTGTTCCTTAAAGGTTATCAATTTATATGTGAATATAATATATATGAAGAAATAGCAAGAAGCATATTCAAAATATGTGATTATTTTATTTATATTAATACTTATTTCAATAATATATGATAAAGGAGAATGTATAGTAAACATATTAAAATAAGCAAAATGAGACATTTTTGTATATTTTTTCTCATATTTCGGACCCCAAAATTGGGAAAATACAGTAAATATTTTGAATAAAATATAAAACCATTAATTAATGTTCTTTCTTTGTTCTCAAATCAGTGTCATAACTAAATAATCTGGCAAGATACAAATATACAATGATTAGGACTAAGTGCATATTTTTGGTCACCAAATGCAGTAACTGTGAGGATTGCTATGTAAATTAAACTTGAGGTTAAGAAAATAAAGAATGTACTTAACAGATCGTTCTCTTTGATCTTAACTCAATAATATCATTCCTACTATTTGTAGTGATTCTTGTCTTGGATTATTATTATTACTACATCATTCTTGTCCATCTGATAACGATGTCTACAGGTATTGCAGAGATATTTGGATAATATATATCAACCACACAAAATACAACAATTTTAAATATAACAACCAAAATGTTCTACCAATTTTTAATGATATTGTTTCAAAATAAATTAAACCTCATAGAAAACATTATATTTATAATAAGAATACTAATATAGACCAATTTATGTGTCAATCACATTAAATAAAACTTACTAAATTCTCTTTATTTTTTGCAAGAGTTAATTGAAATTACGTAGCTTTTTATAAATTCTATACTTGAAACACCGAAGAAATATAAATATATTAAATTATTTAATATAAAATTTTGTATACCATAGTGAAATGTTACATTTTAATAGTTAATCTTTGATCCACATGGACCATTAAAAATTTCTAAATAAATAAGTCACAATAAGAAGCATACACTTATAATTAATTATAAGAATTATATTTTATGTTTTTTGGTCTATAATAAATACTTACTTTTAATTGTTACTTATTGAATAAAGAATTATTATAATTCTGTTGAAATAATGTATCGATCGGTCACAAATTATACAGTCGCACGTATTTTGCATTTGAAATAATTAAAGAATGAAAATGAAATATCCCCGACAATGTCGACTTCGAGCGGAAATATTGAGTTCGCAGCGAAGTATGGAGCAGAATTAGAAACGAGAGCGCTCCTCTCCGTTAATTGCAAAACTATATTACACATAATAATAAAGATCTGCATTCATAATTATTGTAATAAAATGTGGCAAAGGCGAAAAGAATTAATTTGAAACGGGAAAGGGTGCTGTTGCGTGCACGGCAAGACGGTATAAATAGTGAACGCAGTCAGTGCAAGAGCATCAGATCAGCTTCCAACATTCAATATGAAGGTAATCAAGTGATCGGTGATCACACTACAACTAGACATTTTTAATTTAATTTATTATTTTTGTTTTGGAACGTGTTTAGGTTTTTGTTTGCATGTTGGTCTTCTCGATTGCAGCATCTAATGGTAAGTAGATATTAATTTTTGGGATAATTTGATTTCATTGTTTTCATTATTTAGCTGGATTCATCGGCGGAGGAGGAGGAGGAGGTGGGAATGGTGGATGGTCTGGCGGCGGAGGCGGCGGCGGCTGGAACGGTGGCGGAGGAGGTAAAAGTGGAGGTGGCGGCGGATGGAGTGCAGGAGGCGGCGGCGGTGGTTGGCAAGGAGGCGGCGGCGGTGGTGGCCATGGAGGAGGAGGCGGCGGCGGTCAAGGAGGTGGAGGAGGAGGCCAAACCATTAAAATTATTAAAGTAATTGTACCTTCCGGAGGAGGAGGCGGCGGAGGTGGACATGGAGGTGGTAATGGAGGTGGTTGGCAAGGAGGCAACGGCGGAGGTGGTCATGGAGGCGGCGGTGGAGGAGGAGGATGGCAAGGAGGCGGCGGAGGAGGATGGAGCGGCGGCGGCGGTGGAAACGGAGGCGGCGGCGGAAGCAAGTGGTGGTAAAAACTCAACAATTGTTTCGATCAAATAGGCAATGGAAACATCTTCGAACTGATTTATTGAACGACTTATATCATCTACATATATCATGTAACATTTATCGCAAAAAATATATCCATAACTATTTGTAACCAATAAAATCAATTTTAATACAATGCTGCTCATTTATTGAGCCTTAATTATTTATTATCTTCTCATCACAATTCAAGCTTTCAACAATTGAAGCTCTAACTACGCACAGTAATCTATACATAACTGTTAAAAGCCTTTTAACAAACAACATTTAACGACTAGATTAATAAACAATAAATAGAATAAATACGTGAAGTATTATTAACTAGTGCTCATCCATTATCTTAGTAACAATACTGTAGTATGAAATCTTATATCTGCATTCAATCAGAACTAAATAAATACTTTCTTATATTTTAATTTATTTATAGAATAAAAATCTATAATTTATATTTCAAATAAAAATACTTAATTACGTACCAACAAAAAATTTAAATTAATTAACTCATATTGCAAAGTCTGATAGAAGATGACATACTGTATGTATAAATCCCCAAAATATAAGGGCTTAATAAATCACGCTAAAAATATGACTTAATCCATCGACATATAAATATTTTGTATATATATATATATATCTTACTTTATCAACCATAGTGTACGAAGTATTGTCATTTCTTGGCACATTGAATTTTTCCTTATTTATAATATATATCATATATTTTATCAAATAAATAAAAATAAAAATAATCTTAAATCTATTATTTGTCAAACTCACAGTCATATCTTCGTTACCAGTATAATAGAAGAATGCTTTTGTATCATATTTCTTTTCCTTTTGTAGATAAGCTAAAAAAAACTAACTTCCTCATCGAACGGTATCAATATAATAAGCGTTTCCCTTATTTCTTCTCGGACATCTGAGCAGCCTGCCTCCTTAGATCGGAGTGTATGCATGCAGTCAAAATAGTTCCCAAAAGAAGCATCGCGGACATAACTACATTCGACCAAACATCTCCAAGACTGTAAAACAATTCCGAATATACAATAGTGAATATGATGCCGAACAATTGCGAGCCGGCGTTGAGTAATCCAGCAGATGTTCCTTCCGGTTCCGGGTAAGTCAATTCAGCTGCTAATTCGAACCCGACCGGAAGCAAACCAGTCATGAAGAACCTGAAACAATGCATCGCTTAGAAATGGTATTAGCCAACATTGAGGAAATTAATCCGTACCCTAACAAAGCCGCTGTAACGTATACAACAGCAATCCCTTTGTCCAAAGTGAAGGTAAAAATCACCATGCCAACTAGAGAAAATGCATAGACAACTAAGGTTGTTTCTCTAAAAGAAATAATTTGGTTAACATTTGTGGTAAAACATGTATGTGTATGTATTACTTGAATTTGTGAAACTTGTCCAAAACGATGCCGCATACGACCGAACCGACCATTCCGGCACAGACAATGACTAGACCTATTCTACCGGCGTCCTCCAAAGCTCCCTAAAATTTCAAAGGCAAAATATTGAAAATATTCGGTTACATTATGCAATTTCTCACCTCGTAATGCTGTGTAATGATTTGACTGAGAAGAGTCGAAATTGCGTAGAATACTCCTACATTGATTCCGTAAGCCGCCAGCAAGAGGACGTAAGATGAATTCATCATTAACTTCTTTACGGAAATCAGGAAACTTTCACTCTCTCCATCATCTTGAGTTGTTTGAACTTGGGCAAATGACGGTGGAGTTGGCGGTCCGTCTTTGAAAACTGTAAAATACATCATTAAAATAGCATTCAAAATATTGTTCCACATGTAAAACATTAAAGAATAAAATGATCTTTTATAAAATTTTAACATTCCAATTTACAAAAACTAATAGATAATAATCTACAATTTATATAAAACCGCTAAATGCATAATTATTTATTATTACAAGTTATAATATTTGGCCAGGATCTATTTCACAATTTATATAGTTTAATGATGCTATTTTATATAATAATTATCTATAGCAATGGTTTTCTACCTTTTTTTATTTCACAGTATAATTGAAGCTCACCTGAAGATAAACTTGCTCTGCATAATTAAATAGTGATATTTTTTAATTATGAAAAAAATCGTGATTGAAGTGTCAAATTATATAAATTATCTATCATCAAGAGTTTCATGATCTTGGTATTATATGGAATTTAATATTAATTAATAAATATAGAATAATAAATTATTTTAGCATATTTAGTTATTAAAAAAATATCAGAAATTATATAAAAATCATTTGTAATATAGGCAACTAAATGTACAATCATGTTTATTGAATTTATTATATTACAAAGAATAAGATTGGTATTTTATAAAGTTTATAAGATACTAATATATATTATAAATTTTCAATCCCATTAATATCCATGTCAAATGGACATGAATTTAAATAACAATTCATGAGATATTAACATAGATGGAGAAAATAAAACTTTTGTATATTAAATAATATTTTTTTACTTATAATAAATATATAATTTTGTGTACTAATTAATATTCAATAATTTTGAATAATCTTAATAATTATTCAATATAATTGAAAGTTATAGGGAAGTATTTCAAAAACAGTTCCCTGAATTTAGAACGGTTTTGAAGATTCGAGGAAACTCGAACAAGCGAGCTTACTGAAATATTAGCCCTGAATACCGTGGAATGAATTCACGCCAGAACAAATGCGCGATAAATTTGCGTTAGTCTGGAATTAATGTTCCTTTTGGGGTAGATGACAAGAAGTGCTTTCGCGCAAAACCTTTCCATTTACCGCATTAAATTTAATCTCGAACAAACGCTTTCCTACCTAAATACAACGTTTAATTACATATATTTAATAATCGTCGTTGTGCCGCTTCCCAAACATCTGATAACGAAGTTAACTGTTAAGAGAAAGTGGAAGAAAAAGGAAAATGCCAGTTTGTTAATAGCCGATGCATTCAAAAAGCGTTTTTAATTTGCGCAAAACAAACGGCTTTAATCCTACTGGGATTAGAACGAACAACAACACGGCAGAAATAAAAAGGATGCAGAATAAACGAGGTCTGTTAAAAAAAGGCGAAGCAATTAAACGGAAACGCAAATGAATTAAATAAAAGGACGGGGAGCGTTAATTTAATCCGGAAAGATTTGTGTGCACGCTCCTACCGCCCTTCCTGTAAAACGGCACAACCAGATGCACGGTACATTGATTCGTTGCATCATCCGCAATCAGTGTTGGTTGTTCTACTGTTTCAGTGATGTAATATATAAAATATACTTACATATCAAAATAAGAATTAGCAGCACTGTTGTAAATATGGCCATCGCTATAAACATCACGTACAGATCCTTGGTGGTTTCCTCAACGCTCGTTTCAATCTTCACCAACATCGGAGGCAACAAAAAACCAATGGCAACGCCAAGCTGAAAAGAAATAATGTTTTAAATTGATAATTTCATAAATGTTCTTGTTCATTACACTCTTAATTTCATGCTAGAGTTCTATAACACAGAGATACGTTTTGTGAGAAGGTAAAATTCGAAAAAAAAAAATTATAATCTTTCCAATAAATTTAATTATTATAAAACTGTATATAATTAAACCGAAACCAACTTAAAACTGCTATAACTTTCGAACCAATGATAGTTGATTTTATTGTTTACAAGCCTGCGGAAGCATTTAAATTTTTTTGAAAAAAGTTATCAGTGATGGAATTCAAACGTAATTGTGGATAGCCCAATTTGAATGGAAAACCAAAAGTGCCTATTGTTAGAGTCCTCGAACACCTTAATATGAATAAATCTTTCGTCTTTCTTAAGTGGTTCGTAAAGTTAAGAATCGAATTGAATGAAATCTACGAGGCACTGGAAGACAAATGGTTACTCAGCTGAACATATCGAATATAACCATGCAACAAATACTAAAAAACGAACTCAAAGGAAAAAGTTCCAGAAAGGACAAGATCTCACCGATGTTAAAAAAAAATTAAACTCGATGGAGCGAATGAACTGTTGCGCTTGCTGCGTTCGTGCAAATACCTTGCCTGATGACAAAAAATTCCCAATTGAGAAATTCGTAAACAAACAAAATGGTCGAATTTACTTAGAAGAGAGGACAAGCACCACATTTTGTGGTAGTTTGGGAGGCTGTAACGTTTGGGAGGCCATGGACAACCAAACATTTCAGTTAAAAAGATTGGACGTTTCAAGGAGATTCTGCACCATCACACAAAGCACACGAAAACCAACAATGGTTGAGAGACAACTTTCCACACTTCATTAAGACTGCACACTTGCCTCCACGGTGACCAGATGCAAATCCGCTCGATTTCTCATTATGGGGCATTTTAAAGGCCTAGGTCAGCACAAAGAAATACCAGAGTATTAATGTGTTCAAGAAAGCCCTTCTTCGTGAATGGAGGAAGATTCCGCAAGTTCACATTCGTGCAGCGTGCGACCAACTCAGAGCTATAGTTCGCGCTAAACGCGAAAATTTGAAATAAATTCGAAAAATTTAATTGTTTTCCAACATTTTTTGCAGTTCAATTGGGCCACCCTGTATATCTATATTTTAATCATTGCAAATAGAATATTTTTAGTGGTTTGTGGCTATTAACTATAATTTATTGAACATAATGATGATTGTAAGTAAATGTTGTTGAAATATTTTCTATTTATTTTTCAAATATATTTTCAAGTGAATTTTTATATTTAAATTATAGTCCTATTTAAACTAAAGTACACATCATCTGTATTTAGGTTATAAGAATTTATTTAATTCCATGATAACAACGGTGTATTTCGAGTTAATCTAGACTTTTTTACAATCAACAAATATTACATAATATATGTAAGTAACATTAAAATTTACATTGACAAAAGATTATATTTAAATTAATCTGGATTTAAGGGCCCGAACAAATAGTTCGGGTTTCGAATAGTTTCGAGTTAATCTAGACTTTTTTACAATCAACAAATATTACATAATATATGTAAGTAATATTAAATTTTACGTTGACAAAAGATTATATTTAAATTAATCTGGATTTAACGGCTCGAACAAATAGACCATACCAGGGATTTTAAATCGGATGACTTCACGCGTTCGATTCCCATTAAGCTCATATTATATGAAAATCTGTTGTGGAAACTCGGTTAGGATGCTTTTAGGTAAATGAGAAAACGCTGCATAACCATATCAAGTGAACTGCTCACTATCGTAAAGTGTGAAAACGGTCGCCAAATAATCGCGAAAACAATATACACGATCAATATGAAGATATAATACTGAATGTTTTCTTAACATTATTGAAGAAATAAACATTTCCGTTTTGAGACTTTTTTAAATTATGTTGTCTTACCTACTGTTAAAAATACATCTAACTTCAAGTCACATTAGCTGCTGCCAACAGTTTTAATCCTCTAAGGACAAAATTGAATTTAGAATTAATGATTTCATTTGGAATTACTGGGTTGGAAAGGGTTAAATGTTAAAACTTCAGTGGCATGACCCACCGGTGAGTCATGGCGTCCGTAAAGTGTTAATAATGCAAGTTAACTTGTCAAAATTTATTTGTATTCCTCTTTAATCTGTTATATTGTGTATTTATATATAAATGTAAAAATATTCTATTCAACGCGAGATTACAGAACAATTTAAAACTTTATTACATAAATATGTTTAACTTCTATTATTGAATACAGAACAAATTTAGTAACAAATACAAAATATATTGATATTTAACATATTTATTGGCCACACTTATGATCAAAAGGCTATTGATCTAAGTTCTTCCGTCTTATTAAAATATAGTAAATCAAATTATGCATTTGCTCCTTTTGGAATTTAAGAGTCAGGAATCAGTCTGCAGTCAGATTTTCTGCACTAACTCTTTATGATACACACTGATATCTTGAATTTCGATGTTATTTTGAAATTACTTCAATACATTATATTATTATTTTAAATAAAAGTTAATAACACAATTCGCCTCCCACTATCTCACATAAAACATTATATACTGGACTTTTTAAACAAGAATTGGGCTAGTGCATCCAGTATTTACTAGTAGTTTAAATGTTAGTATTCTAATTGAGAATTTACCTATATATTCCCAAAAAACGATGTCTATTTTTCAAACGATTTATCAAAGTATAAAATCGTTTGGAAAATATAAGTTAAATGAAGGTTTATAATTACATAATCCATATATTCCTACAAATTTTAAGATCATATTATTAGAATTATTAGAAATATTAGATTTATTTCTTTTGTGTTATAATTTTCTGTAATTATGTTTATTCTGGATATTATGTATGTTATTTGTGATGGCTGATAAAATATCTATAAGTTTCTTGAAGTAAGTAGGTCGCAAATTAAATATTTAGCCTATTTGATTTCTTGAGGCGGAGCGTAACTTAGATATTTAACTCCAAGTGCAATTTGTTTCTATAAGAAATATACGAGGTAATCCCGTATATAGAAACAAATTGCTATTTTATGAATTTCTATCGTTTATTTTTAAATTAAAGTATTTATTTATACATTAAAGCTTTAATTTAAGTATAATGCGTACACCGAAATTCTCGTTTTAATTATATTATAACGTTGTAATTCATTTTAAGTTATTCTGGAAGCTCAGCATAAAAGATGAATGTACCTGCTGCTAGTGCTGGCCTCGCATTATAATGCATATAATTACCTTTTCGTTAAACATTGGACACATACTGTTATATAAATTACGAAACAAAAGCTTAGTCGGCAAGTTTTTACTATTAAAAATAACCTGCATATGCAAATGTTATGTAAAAATATATCACATATACTTTAATGTTTCAAAAAGTTTATATATACTGCTAAAAATATATAATACAAAATTTAACAAGTTTTTGCCAAAAAAAAATGTTAATAAACAAAAAATTGAAATTATGCCATTGTTAAATGAAAACACAAAGAATAACTTTCACAAATCTGATTTCAATTACATACAAAGTTGAATTTTTATTGTATAAAATCACTGAAAACGAAGTTTCATTTAACTGATAAAATATATTCTGGTTCATAATTTTAATTAAATCATTTAATCATCAATTTAAGTCATTAAATGAATATTGCGTTCTTCAAAATTCATACATTTTTTTATAAAATATTTATAATTAAGTATAAATTTATATAAATTCACATTGTATATAAATAATTCAACTTTGTGATGAGAAAAACTTTTTTTTCTAAAGCCATAATGATGTAGATCGATAATTGAAGTTGAAAATAAATAAAGTGACTAATTAATAAACTTATTTAAAACTTGTGTAGAGAAATTGAGAAAAGTCTCCGAACATTAAATTGGAATTCCATGAGTTCCGGGGATTCCGGTAGAATGATCTTGCATTAGCCTTCAATGGATATAGCGGAAGCTCTAAATCAATTGATTTACGACCACGGTTTAACCTTGATTAAGTTATTTCCACTACATCAATTGCGTCGAGCATATATTTGAAGTTTAACAAATAAAAATGCAAAATTAGTACTCGTAATCTCGAATACACGAGAACAAAATAGTGTTATTAAAACTATTATTACAGATTACTTTAAATGTATTACTTTGTATCCGTGACATTGAAATTAAATTAAACAAGAGCATAAATTAATCCAATAGCACATAACGATATAAGCATTACTTTTATTTGCCATATGTATTATGAGATTAAAAATAAATAACATTCTTGAAATATAATCCATGTCCACACGAACACAAACACACATCACGTGCAATAAATAACACGTAGAAAATATATAACAACAGTTTTATTGCGTAATATATATATATATATATAATCTATACAAAATGATATCACACATCGCAGGACACATTCCTGCTTACTTTGGCCGCGTGCTTACTCGCACTTTGGTACAGATTATATCAATCATTTGCAATGATGGAACGGACATCCTACTCACACTCGACACCAATTTTCTCTTTGCCACAGTTTAATTAATAAATCTACCAAATCCATATTAACATCCAGCTCATTCTGTCAACGTACCAACAAAAAAGAAAGTAAATAATAGGAAGGGCAAATTACAGCTAAAAAACGACAGAGGACCATAAACTATAGCTTATCGTATCTCTGCAGAAAGTCTGAAAATGAGCTGGGTGTATTTAGTATTTCCAGCGGTTTATTAAGTACGTTTCGGCAGAAATCTCGACACCCAAAGACTCCCCAGACAACCGTTCTAAAGGCAATCCACGAGAAAAAAGCTCTCATCCTAATACGAACAAAAATCAATGCGTTCCCTCTTTCCGCCAATAATGCATTTAATTACTTTACACTGCGACGAAAAAGTTTTCCTCATTAAAAACCAACCACGATGAAATATGTATTTTCGCAAATTTTGTTTTCTTCTTTGTGCAAATAAATATGGT